TAAACGAGATAACTCACACAGCACACAACACAAACAATCAATTAGATCCAGATAGTTCAAATCATGACACACAACCAGTAATCAAACCCAAACACAAGAGATTGATACTAAAGATTGGAAAGAAAATCACCCATCATTGAAATTAGACACTCTCTCTGATAAAGAAGCAAGATACCTACATGAGTCTATAACACCTGAGAACAGACCTATCAGGGAGAACAGAAACAAAAAACCTAGCAAACACAATGATTTTGTCATGTCAATACACACTGAAGAATATACCCCTACTTCATATGAAGAAGTCACAAAACTACCTCATGAGGAGAGAAATAAATGGGAAATAGCCATGAAAAAGGAATTAAATAGTCTAAAGGAACTAGATGTATGCACCCCTTCACCAGTACCTAATGACAAATCTCCAATTGGAACAAAATGGATATATAAAATAAAGAGCCTAGATAATAATGAAACCATATATAAGGCTAGATTAGTTGCCCAAGGGTTTCCCCAAAAATATCCTGAAGATTACACGGAAACCTACTCTCCTACAGTAAGATCAGAAAGCGTAAAATGCGCCTTAGTGATTGCTTCAATCTTGAAATTAGATGTATATCAATTCGATGTTCAAACTGCCTATCTGCATGCCAAACTGGACAAGAAAATATATGTTAAAGCTCCTCCTGGCATACACCCACTGGAAGGTAACACATGGCTATTAAACAAAAGCCTAAACGGACTGAAACAATCTGGAAAACAATGGTACGATTGTTTGTCCACCATACTAAAATCAATAGGATTCTCCCCCACTCATGCTGATATGTGTTTCTTTTATAAGAAAAACAAGGATTCTACAGAATATGTTCTCATATATGTTGACGATATTTTATATATAGGGAATCAGAAACAAAAATGTGAGATCTTCGCTCAGGAATTGAACAAACATTTTTCTCTAAAATCCCTAGGGAAAATAAACAAGTACTTAGGAGTTCACATCACACAAACACAAAAGGGATTCCAATTATGCCAAGAAGAAAAAATATTAGAATTAGTGAAAAAATGTAATATAAATGAAGCTAAGTACTGCGAAACCCCTCTGCATCCTGACTTTGTAAAGAACATGCATAATGAAAACGATCCTTTCACTAACAACAAATTATATAGGTCAACAATAGGTTCTTTATTGTATATAGCTAATTGGACCAGACCTGATATAGCATTACCTGTCAATTTACTATCCAGATATGTAAGCAATCCTACTATTTATCATTGGGAAGCGGTTAAAAAAATCATTAAGTACTTGAAACATAGTTCAGGAGCATCTCTAAGGTTAGAGCCAAGTAACTCATCTATACCCACATTCTTATGTTATGCTGATTCTGATTGGGCAGGTGATGTAAAAACTAGAAAAAGCACTTCAGGTTATATTCTCTTTCTCAATGGTTGTCCCATCCATTGGTATACAGGAAAACAAAATCTAGTTGCTACTTCTACTACTGAAGCTGAATTTGTATGTTTGTCAAAAGCAGCAAATAACCTCATATGGTTTGACGATTTATTAACTACAATATGGAATGAACCCAATTATCCCATCATCATTTATGAAGATAATAAAGCTGCCATAGAAATCTCCAAATCAGATGCAGTAGGTCAAAGATCCAGGCACATCGATATTAAGTATAAACATGTAAGACAGTTGTCTAACATTGGATTTCTAAAAACTGTTCATTGTGAAACTAGTGAGCAAATAGCAGACATACTTACGAAACCCTTACCTGACAAGCAGCATTCATATTTAAGGTCAAAGCTCAACATACAACTATCTTAGGCATTTAGAGGGGGTTTTGTTACATATATAAATGCCTAATATATATTTGCCTGTGTATATAATTATGGTTACCTCCCATTCTGCCTACATCACCCCTGTAACCACTCCTACTTACCTCTAACCACTCCTCCTCTGTATATATACCGACTCCTCCCTGAATCTTGGTTCTTCTGCTATATCTCCTGTAAGAGAATAGATGAAAATAAACAATAATTAATATCATAACAGACTCTGAGTAATTATTGGGCAAGATCCTCGAATTCTGACAATATATCTTTACAATTTTTAATATAACATTGACATTCTTAATATATTACCTGGAAGAGCATCCAGTTGGTTTAAATAAAATCTACTTCTTATGCAGCTAAGTATACTATAATTCTTAGAAGTAAATTCCATTTAAATTTGCAAATAAAGGTGTTCAGAATTTAGGTGCCTACAGTTTCAAGAATGATCTAGTAAATGGTAGGGTGGTTAGGAAAAGAAGAATAGAAAAAGGGACAGAAGAGTCATGGACACATTTGGCATGAATTTCATTTACCATTTGACTATGTGTCTTGAAAATTATTCCTGAGAATATTTGGATTTTGAATTAAAAATACATTCCACTATCTGATGCAAACAATATTTATAATTACATTCACACTCATTTGTTTAATAAATAAAAACATGGACCTTTAACACCTAAGTTACAAATTGAACTTGTCATTGAGCTGGATGATCCAGAAAGATGGAAGGGTTCATTTGGGCTTTTTTATTGATCAGCATTATTTAGACTTTTATGTCTGACATGGCAATAAAAACAGAATAAACAGCATACATTTATGCTCAAGAGATTGTCTATCCTGCTCCATGACTGACTGGAGAACGACTGGAGAACGACTGGCTTCTGTTGAATCTGGTAGTACTGATATTAAAACAGAGGATTAGCACACAATAGATAGGAACTATAATCTTCCTCCTGCTTTTATAATTTTAGTGCTATTGTGATTTTTAATTTCCTAATAAATGTTTAGATATAAGACTAGAGAGATTTTAAAATAGCACAGAGCTAGTCTATAATTGGCAATGCATAGCATTTGGAACATTTGGAAATTATTTATTAATCAGATGAAATTAAAGCAGAATATAGAGCATCCTTCCTCTGATTTTATTCATCCAAGGTCAATTTTTTGAAAGAGATTGAGAAATGATAATTAGTTGAAAGTTGCTGAGTGAACTTCATGAGTGAAGATATAGCAGATCCCTGATGACACATATTTTATTTAAAATTGCTTAATATAAATTGTATATAAGATTAGGTCTTCAAGAAATATAAAATAATACAAAATAAAATGTTTGCTATGGCTCAATAATATAGCAATAGCATTTAGACTTATACACCGCATCACAGTGCTTTACAGCTCTCTCTAAGCAGTTTACAGAGTCAGTCTATTGCCCCCAACAATTTGGGTCCTCATTTACCCACCTGGGAAGGATGGAAGGCTGAGTCAACCTTGAGCCTGGTGAGATTCGATCTGCCAAATTGCAGGCAGCTGGCAGTCAGCAGAAGTAACCTTTAGTTACATTCCAACCACTGCACCAACGCGGCTTACTATATATTAAGATAGTGAGTATAGAAAATAAGACAAACATTTTTGGGAAAAATATTTTATGGGTATTGAATAGTATGGTTGAGAATCCGAATTCTTTTGACTCTCCACCAGGGTGGTGGACTGCTTTTGGGATAAGTTTATAGTACTTGGAGTTTGTGAGACCTGCCCCAACTGGGTCCCTAGGAAAGAAAGGCCCTCGATTCCATTTGATTGATGGTTCTTTTACTAAGAATTCCTGGTTGCAGTAAAAGTAGGCTAGGAGTAAAGTTTCCATGCAAAAGTTTATAAACGTTTCCCCTACATCATGGCCCTCCCCCAATCGACCAATGGTGTGCCCCATAGGTGTTTGGGGAACTGCTTGGATGTTAATGCAAGTCTCATTCCTTTCCCAAGCTTAATGGCATTGAAGACTGAAACGGGCTGGTTTCTCACACTTCTGGTTTCTGTCAAACCTATCATTCCCCCCTTTCTTGTTTCTCATCTCTACCCCATACATGCTTATTGCCCATTTCCTCTCTTCCTGCCCAACAGTTGATGGCAGGATGATAACAAGGCGCCAAGCTGACAATGGCAGATCTGACAGCCCTCCTCTTCTGCCATCTGCCAGTATGCCTGATCTAGCTCTTGCTTCCTTATCAGATCTGTTATCATTCCATCAATCATTCTGGACTCCTTCAATTTCTTTACTGCCCACTTTTATCTGCTAAGCTTCTCTTCTCTGCATTATTTCATCCATGGTCAAATGGTAGTGTCTTATCATTTCCAGATGCCAGTTCTCTGGAACTACCTCTTTTTTACCACTGTAGACAGGTTTTCTGGAACCTTCAGTTTGGCTGCATATTCTGTTATTATTTATAGCTCTGTGGAATGGGTAGGGGAATACTTCCTATCTCCACTTCTGCCCTTCCTTTCCCCAGCTTAAATTGGTCAAGATGTTTAGCTTGTGGACTTCATTCATTAAAGGCTGCCATATTGTTCTTGTGCAGAATCTCAGCCACCTTTTGCAGTGACCAGTAGATAATTACTTCAAGGGTTTTTTTGAGAGAGGGAGAGAGAGAGAGGATATACAATATACATCTAGGAAGAGGCAATAAAAAAGGGGTCCCTCATAACATTGAAATTGGCTGACTTCAGCGTTACATCAGAGCCTACTATTGACCTCATCTGCTATGTGATAGAAATGTGACTCTGTTTTAATGTACTATTTATAGCCGTTTTATTCTTTTATTCTCTATTTATCATTGAATAGAAAAAATATATATTTCATATATTCGGTGTCAGATTGAATAAAATCAAATGGTGTAAAGTATAACAATTGAGTTTTTCAAGTTTATTTTAGATGAAACTGATATTAAAATTGCATTTTCTTAGGGAGATCCTTGCCATTTATTTGTTTAATATACAGAGGTCTAGTTCAGGTTATTTTATTGGCTACTTTGCCTGATTAATATTTATCAACTACATATTTATATATACATATCTGCTCTCTCTCTTCTCTCTCACTCTCCCTCCCTCCCTCTGTATGTATGTATGTAAACTGTAAAACAATCTACTAATTTTTTCTTATCTTTTCCTTTCAGTTTGCTCTCAGTTTTCAAGAGGAGTCTTTGCTATTTTTGGATTTTATGATAAGAAGTCTGTAAATACTATAACATCATTTTGTGGAACTCTTCATGTTTCCTTCATAACACCCAGTTTTCCAACAGATGGTACACACCCTTTTGTCATTCAGATGAGACCTGACCTTAAGGGAGCACTTCTGAGCTTAATTGAATATTATCAATGGAACAAATTTGCATATCTCTATGACAGTGACAGAGGTAAGAGATTTGCCATGTATTAAAATTAATTTTATTCTAGCACAAATCTGTTTGCAATGATCAAGAAGGATTACAGTATCAATCATAGCAGAAGGTAGCACTTTGTAATGTTTTCAGCCTTAAACATTTAAGGCGAGAAAGTTGAATCAGTGGTGTTTCCTATAACAGTGAATGTAGTGCCTGAACTGCTATTTCAATCTAGAATACTATATACAAGGAAAAGAAGAAATGTACAAGTGTGTTCCTACAAATCATTGGAAAGTTCCTCTGTATAGGAATATATTGTAATGAAAAATCTTTTTAGAAGACTATCACTAAAGAACTGATTTTCACAGCATGAATTTGATTAAGGAAATAAGCAGTTTCTAGACAAGACTTCCTGTGGTCATCCTGGGGACTTAAGGATGATTGATTGTCAGAATTCTATCTATGTTCTAGTAATTATTTATGTGGATTTGTTGTAGCACAAGCCTTCCTTCTGCCTTCCCACCCTGCCTGCCTCCCTAACATGATCTGGCTAACTGAGAATTAAAATGAGCAAGGCAACTTCAGTTAATAAAGCTTGGGTGTCATGAAAATTAACTATTTTTTATTAAACAGATTAGAAAAAAGATAGCTGCTGGTGAAATTTTATGCCTCAGATTGCCAAAATAAAGTAGGGTTGGTTACTGGATGGCTAAGTGAAAAACATTTTGGCTGGCTTGCTCTAGTCCTAAGAATACAAAATATGTTTTCCACATAGTTAATTGAAATAAAATGATGCAATCTTCAGAAAAAAAACCCATCTTGGAATAACTTTATTTTAACATATGTGATAACATAACTTATTTGATCAAAAACTAAATATACAACTCAATGGATTAGAGTCAACAACAATAGGTACATTGTTAAAGGAAAAAGATACCAAAATCTCAGAATACGCTCAATCTTATTTACCTAGGCCAGGGGTGTCAAACTCAAGGCCCACGAGCCGTATTTGGCCCACGGGGTGCTTAGATCTGGCCCGCGGGGCTGCCCTGGAAACAGTGAAAGACCGGCCTGCAATGCCTCTGCCAGCGAAAATGTTTTTGCTGGCAGATGGTTGCAGGACACCATCGCAGTTGAAAATGGAGCTTGAGAGCCCGTTTTCTCTGGCAGAATCCTTGCACCCCAACACAAGTGACGTCGAGCTGGCCATGCCCACCCTGGCCACATACCCTGCCCCCGTTGAGGTCAATCACAACACTGATACAACTGTCAATGAAGTCAAGTTTCACACCCCTGACCTAGGCTTTGTGCTTTTAGAAGAATATGAATTGGGATAATCTGAAGCAAAATGCTTATTTAATACGTAAAACTCTTTTTGCTATGGACCCAGGCCCCTTCTAATTTTGACTCTTTATACTTTTTTTTCCAATTGTAAATTTATTATTTGCTTACATATGGGCCTAGGTACGAAGAAGTTTCCCTGTCACTAGGTTAGAATTAAATAAAACTAAGTGAGATAGATACATTATTTTGCACTATTAATGCTGTTTCTGAAGTTTGGAGTGAAAGCTGGTCTGGTAATAAATTTAATCAAGCACATTATTATATGGGAAATATCATTATTAACTATGCAGTCTCATGGGCAGAACTGCTTTTGATTGGGAGGACTCAGGTTTTTTGTCCCACACCCTCCAGATGTGTTTGCATTATATAATAGTTGAAATATTGTTATTGCATTAATTTTGGCCAGTCAAACTGGCATTCAGGGACCTTATACTACCATATATGGAGGCTGAGAAAAAATGTTACTCAACTTTCAAACAGTGGGTTAAATTCAATAATAATTTATTATCAGAAATTATTTTTAAAGATAAAATAGGAGCCACTGCTGAATCTTTAAAAACTATGTTTTGAATTCATATTCTCCATATATTGGTTTTCTGTCTTAAAAACTGAGCCAGAGAAAAATTTGAAAATTTATATCTTTCACAGGGATGAATGGCATGGTGTACTTTCAATGGTGCAAATAACATTTAATAAGAATTATTCCATACAGTCCTTTTAATGAAAGCAAATTTCAAACTGTATTTTTATTAGAAATTCATATCTGCCAATCCTTTCCCACAAAATAGCAATTTGGCAAGGCAGTAATCTGAAATAGAAATATTAGCTCTTCATTTAGTATAATTTTTATACCAATGCCTTTCATTCTGTCAACTGCTATTCCTTGCAACATTATATTGCAGGTATTTGTCTGAAAGGCCTTAACTGAGGAAAACATTTTTTAAAAAATTGGAATAGAGAAAAAGATAGGAAAAAAAAATAATCCAATATTTCCTGTCAGGTCTTTCAGGTATACACAGTGTGCAGTTCTTAGGCAATTGAACAAGCAAGTCCATTAACTAAGCTACCTGGGAATTTGGTTAATGATGCTAGATTAAGCACACATTATTTCTACTGTGCTCTATATTATTTCTTTCCAAGTTGATATTTTGGTTTACATGCTTTAAAAAGTTCCTGGGATTAAGATACACGCATTTACTTATAATGTCTACTTCAGTGTTTTCTCTTTAAGCAAATAGCTTCCTTATGAAAGGTGAAAGTGAAATTTATATCACTTTTCATTTTCTTAATGTCATTTTTGGGAATTACAATTCCCAGAATGCTTCGTTGAGTCATGAAAGTGTTTGGCAGCCATAAGGCTCAGTAAAATGTCCCCAAATACACATTCCTGGTTGATATAGCCATTTAAAAAATGGGTAAAGTGCCAAGAAAATATATTTCTCATTTCCAGCCATCTAGAAAGAAACAAATTATGTTAAATGAGTTCTGAAACAAGCCTGAAATCATATTTATTTGAATGAACATTGTAATGATTAAAACCTATTATAATACTTTTTACTACCACAGTGCTCTCTCATTAATATTACTATTAATTATTCCTGAAAATATGACAACTGGCTCAGACTCCATTCTGTACTTCTCCCCACCACATCACTGACCAATGCAACACAAGGAAGAAAGAAAACAGGTTGAAGAGAAAACAAGGTCCTTCTCTGGTCAAGGGAGAAGGACATGGTTGAAATAGATGAGTTTGGGTGCTAGCTGAAAAAAAACTGAGGTGACAAAGCACTGAAGTGTCTGGAAAAAAAGTTCCATAAGTAGACATGAGGTTGAAGATGTGCGAAGACTAGAGTTAGAATGAATCTGGTAATTGATGTTGTTATTACTGAAAAAGAAGTTTCTCACTTTAGACAAACATACAGTGTATTGTCAGAACACTGAAAGGTGAAAATGTGAAATCCTCAGAGTGGAAATGGAGTGGAAATGATGTTTTAATGATAAATGAAATTAGGCAGATTTCACAAGTCCATACAAAGGAATAATGGACATCTGTGTGTGTGTGAGAGAGGGAGTATTATTGTTTTTAAGATCTGTTAAAATCAATGTTATACAAATGTATGCATCTAATACAGTTTAAGTGAAAGAAGACATTGAAGAACATTATAAATTGCAAGAGGTGCAAGATGCAGTAGTATGAAAGAACTAACAGGAAATTAGATTTAAAAATCTGGATAAATGGAGAAACTGCCAAAGAAACATTTTGACTGAATAACCGTCACAGCACAAGATAAGAGTCAATAAGGTTTTCAAAGAAAATTCTTTCTTGCCAATATAAACAGAGATTTGGACATTCTGAATGGACAATATCCAAATTATCTATGTAATATCTATATCTCTATAAACTACATAGTAGAATTAAACATGAAGAAGTCATCTAGAATATTTCCAAGTGCAGATCATACATTGTTCCATGAATTTTAGATGTCAAGTATATAGGTTAAATATAGACCTTTAAAAAGAATACAGTTGGTATGTAAGCAAATAGGACTTAGAGAAGGTAGTTATCATATACAGTAAGATTTGTCAATCACTATCATTTGTCAGTGTCAGTGTAATCAATGTTAAACACAAAAGTGCAAAGAAAGGTATCTCTAGAATAACAGCAGATAGGGTAATATGACAACATACAATAAGAGATACTTTAAAGATTTGCATATAGCAAATTGTTAGTATTTTACTCTCCAATTTCCACTCCAGTCCTACTATTTTTATGATATAGACATTTTAGAAAAAAATGAAGATGATAAATTACATGCTGGAAAAGTAGAGAGAGTACTAATCTGAAGATGGAATAAATGTTAATCTTAGGCAAAATCATGAAATATATTTTATAATAACAAAATATTATAAAATTAAATATTATAAAATAAAGTAAATTATATAAAATAAAATATATTTTAAAATAAAATTTATTTTAAATAAAAACAAAAATCAAAATAATTCAGCACAAGATAGGACAGCTTGGTAAGCTATTGTACATAGAATCACCAAAAGGTAAACCTGACTAAGTGACACATAAGTTATTATCTTCAGAGTGCTGAAAGATGTTCTTAATCAACTCTCAAAACAACAAATAATAGGAAAAAATGCTTATTTATTTATTTATTTATTTATTTATTTATTTATTTATTTATTTATTTATTTATTGTATTTACCTCAAAGTAGTTTATATAGTATGATACATATTTTTGTCCTGCAAAATAAAAGAGCAAGACAAGCAGATGGAAAGTATGATTAAGATTATTAAATATTTTGTATTTATATATATTCCATACTGTTTTCACTTTTCATAAGCCATTTAGGGTTTAAAATGCTAATATTTTAAAGTATCCATAGTAGGCAATTGACAACCAAAACTGTTCTTTAATTATAATCATCATAGGATTCTTAAATTTACAATATGGCTACTGCATGTTCATCCAATAGACATTTTCAGCCATTTTTCAAAGATAGTCCTTCTTCAGAAGAGATCACAATCAGGGACAAATAAGTGTTGGCTAGTCTGACCAGCTGAAAAAGATGATTATTAGTTGTTGTAATGCAAAGTCATTATTCACTACAGCTGCTGCTAGAAATCCTGCAGCAGCTAGAGACAAAGAACCCGATTAATTGCAAAACTGCTCTTTCTT